ATTTACTTATTTTCGCTCCAAATGATATTAGCTGTCATATTAAATGTACTGATTTATTATCATAAATATACATGTTATTTATTAGGGGAACATTCATTTGCCTATTCACACAAACGATTTCTGCAAAACGAATTATAGTTACTTTTACCATTTATCAAGAAACATTACACGGCCATAATCTCCAAATTACTGCAAAGTAACCAGATGAGCAATTAGTAATATCTACATTCATTGCTCTACTCAGATCAGATCATGGATAAGAAAATCCAATGATCTTATACAACACTCGTTAAAAAATCTTGATGACCTTTTAAGGATGACAATCGAAACAAGTTCAATCGCTTTTTGTAAAAGTTATTAAGAATAAATAATTTTGGCTCATACTATATTTAAATTTGGATAATTACCCACATTATTTTGTCGGTAGATACTGGTACATATAGGTATTATAATATTAAAATTTACCCCTACTAATGTAATATATTTATTATATTTTATAATTAAAATTTAAACAGGTTCATTTATATTTTAATAAAAATTCTGCTTATGACCTTTTATATTAAAAAATAAAATATCTTCAAAAAAATTTCAATTAAGTATATATCATATTTTTAATTAATTTTATTTAAAAAAGATAAATTATATCAAAATTTTGTGTACAAAATTACTCGAATTGATTTGTATGTTTATTCACAGATTTTTCACTCTCATCCATGGACCCATCATGTAGGTTACACAATTCTGATTGGTCATATGTCCAATTCGTGTGGTTTTATGTAACTTTTCTTCTTATGCCAAATAGCAGATTATATATATTTTTTATTGTTAATATTAGTATTACAATAATATTAATTTGAAGATAAAATTAAATGATATTAAATATTAAATTTAATGAACTAATCTATTTAATAATTTTGATTATAAGTAAAATTCATCAATTTAATTATTAATTTACGTAAGTTATTATAATAATTATATAAGAAATTTTATAATTTAATTATAATTATTTACTTATATTCAATATAACATATCGTATGCATTAAAATAAAGTTAGACAGCGAAGTAGTGATTAATTTTTAATTTGTATGAAATTTTATATATTTAATTTATTATATGATAATTTAAAATTAATAATTAAATTAATAAAATTTATTTTTAATACAAAATTTAAAATATTATTTTATTAAATTTAACACCTAATATTTAAAATATCAATAATTACATATAATATAATTTAAACCATATTCCTTTCAAATCACATCTCTTTAACCTATCACTAAACTATTAATAGACATGGATAATGAATGTAAGTAGAGGTGCATTAATACTCAAAAACTAAAAATAAAGATATTAAAATTATTATTCTTGTAAAAATGAATTTTAAATATTTCATTGAAATATGGGTATAAATAGGATACTATAATACTCGAACTATACTTATTATCATCCTTATGACATTCTTTTTTATCTTTTCAAGGTATTCATCATTAACAGAACTTCAAATATCTCTTAAGAAAAACATCTTGATGATGGTAAGTTTTATTATTCTTTTAAACATTTATACCATTTTTATTTTTCTTCAAGGTGGAGAATATAATTAAAAATATTGGCAGAATCATCTGAGGAAGCAGGGACAGAGAGTATAAAACGAGAAAGAAAAAACGGATAAATATAAATTTGTTGATAGTTTTAAAACATAAGGGTTGATATTAAGCAAAAAGTGCAGACGAATTGTCAAAGCAACCTCTGTTGAAGGAAATAAAATACTCAACTCATTTAGTTGAGACTTTTGAATGTAATGGGAAAGGAGTAGATATAGTAATAAGATCATGACATTGATATATCTTAAAAAATATTTATTATCCTTTTGAGCCATAGATGTAACTTGAGTGGATTTATCTACAAAAAGTTTCGATAATAAACCATGGGCACGGGGGGAATGCAGTATGTGGTTTTGTTGATAGATTGCTATGCTTGGCTGGTATTTCATTGATTGCTTTATTAAGATTTTTATGACAAGCTTTTGTATCGTACGGCCACTTGTCTATCTTTTGGTATATATATACTTAAAAGCTTTCTTGTTGTAGCCAACAGTGGGGGAAAATGGGATGAATAAACAATATTTCATAACTAAAATGTGTTAGTTTGGGTAGAAAATTCTGATAAGAAACAGTGTTTTCTTAATCTATCAAGCAAAAACGTATTTTTAAAAAATATTATATAAATATATAGTTTACACACACATATATATAATATGCAGATTCTTGCTTTTTAGTTAAATTTTTAATAGGAGGATGAAACAATGAATTGAAATTGAATTGAACCAATACAACAATTTTGTTTACCTCATTGTTAATTGCTCCATTTGCTATTGTGTTTTGTTATACAAACCTAATTTTTCTTCTCAAGATTTAGTCTAAGTAACAAAAACTTTGTGAGTTAGTAATTAAAAACCAAAACACAATCTTCATGGAGTTACTCACTGCTTACTATTTCATTTTATTTGACACATGTGCCAATTTATTTTCAACATTCAAAGACTAATAATATATATGCGTTTCACTAATTCAAAAGATGTTTTTAAAAATTTATATGTTAGTTTAAAGTTATTACTCATTTTTATAGGGTACTCGAGACTCAAATATTTTTAGATCCAGTTTGATCTTATCCTCAAATAAAAGAAAATTTTATTAATGTTCAAAGACGTCCTAGCTTGATGTTGGGTAAAAATGGATTTTGGTGAATACCGGGTCACTTGGCTTGAAAAATAAACAATATATTAACTTCTTTATTTTAAGAAATTTATGTTTATTAATTGATATTTTATTATATTTCTTTCTTCTCCATTTATCTCTCGTTTATTATTCTTTTCAGTACCTACACTACTAAATTCGTGGGTGATAATTTACAATGGTATCTTTTATGGAACATTAACAAAAGAGTGAATTATTATGTAGTTATAATTTTATATTTATTGTGGAGAAATTAACTTAATTTGTAGTTTAAAATTTAAGTAAAATAACTAATAACAGAAGTCATTATCTTATTTATTGAATGTTATATCTTGGATCAACATAGTTTCATGTTACTTAAGGTCCAACTTTAACCTAATAATAAATTTAAAAAAAGAGAGTAAAAAATAAGTAGAAATCACCGTAACTTGTCCATAATTTATGAACCATAACCCCCCCCCCCCCCCCCCCCCCCCCCCCCAACTCCTTCCTACCATGGAGGGTGGCAAAACTATAAAAGGCCTCTGTTCATGCCCCATTCGACAAGAAGGATCCCTCTGGAAGTGGACAAAGTCTCTTTATTGAAACGTTATGCCAACTCTACAACGTAAGGTTGGTTGTAGGTAGTTAAGAATGCCACAAAAAAAAGGGAAGTGAATGGGTAAAAGAAAGTGTTCAAAAAAGGTTAGAAAGCTAATTAAATTATTATTGATTTTCGTAAGGTTTTAAGCATGACCACATCAGTGTTCAAAAATAGGAAGTTCTATTTTGAGAGAGGACAAATAGCAAAAAGAAACAGAAGACCCTCTTTTTTGTTTTTAGCAATAAATTGTAGCATGTTCCAGGACAACAATCACTACTTCTAAACAAGATATTCGTAGTTGGTGCAAAGGAGGAAAATATGGATACTTCATTTTAAATTTATCTTAAAATTTATATAAGAATCCCAGCTCAAGGGATATAAAAGATAATAAAATTATTTAATATTAGTAATCTAGGTCGCTTTGCCGTAACTTACAGATTGGTCTGATTAGTTTTTCTTTTTCTCACATTTCCTTGTCAGATTAATTCTAAAATAAAAAATATATATATAATGTAAGATATAAAAATGATTTATTACTGAATATCTTTAACTTTTTCTTTTGCACATAATTACATTCAGAGTGGAATGTTTTTTTAGTATCTCTTCTAATTTTGAAAAAATTTCTACATGTGTGAAAAAATTATATACAAAGTCATATGTAATATCAATATTTTGATATTTAAGATAAGTATTAAATATTCATGATATGTGAAGTATTAAATATGTTCTTTAGTATTGGGAGATTTTTTGATCGAACATATTTCTGAAACTTTCAACATGTGAAAAAAAAATCAGAAATTTAATACAAATAAATCTATAATTGGAAATGACGCATAAATGTTCCAAATAAAGGAAAACTAGATTTTAAGAGAAAATTTCAAATGATTTGGAAGAGAAAAATAAAAATTAATAAAATTAGACTATTTTTAATCAAATTTAATTTAAATCTGTTAATAGTGTAAACATTTTTTTTATATTATCGTTAATCATAAACTGTAATATCAATAAAATTTAATAATTTTTATAATAATTAATACAAATATCATATTTACAATGAGTTCTAATTGGTTAAAAGTGTAAATATAAATGGCAAGTAAAAATAAAATAAAATTTGTCTATCATGCCTTGTAAACATATCATGCACATGGCATTTTTATTTTTTTTTCGACTTGTGAAAATATCTTATGGAGATTTTTTTTTGTCTTTTATTACTTTTCAATGTGTGAAAGCGATATATATTACATGTAAGATGATTAAATGATAAGTATTATACAATTAAAAAGAAAAATATGAAGAAGTAGACAAAATAATTTAATCTTAGCATCGTAAAATAGAGACAGGGGTTTATATATAGGAATAAGAAAAAATGGAAAAAGGAGTTTACGGTCTGACTGATTATTGATTAGCCGTGGATGGTAGAAGATTTGAGAAAAGCGTCTAAAAGGACGCAATGAGGAGTTTATGAAAGGTTGTTGGGTTTAGGTAATATCATATCCAAACACACTTACTCACTGTTCTCGATACAGAGGAGAGAGGCGTGTGTCTTTCATAGCTGTCTTTACTTAATAATACAAGAAAAGCTTCCACTCTATAAATATGCCTCTGTTCATTATTCAATTATATAGCATAGAGTTCCTCAAGTGATTGATTGTGCTTAATTTGTGGGGAGAGAGAGAGAGAGAGAGATGAAAGGAGAGTGTCATCCTTTGCTGAGAGGTGGAAGAAGAGGAGAAGGAAAACAGAAACACAAATTATCTTCAGCTGAGATGGAATCACTGGGAAGCATATGTGAGACTCTGTTGCCTCCTCTGCAGTTGGAACATTTTCACACTCCCAAAAATAACCCTAAAACGAAGGCTTTGCACTTCTTTTGGAAGGCTTCTGGATCTCAATTCTCTGTGCCTGACCAGGTTCCACTCTCTTCACTTCCACTGTCTCATCATCTGTCATCTTCACACTAACTTAATCAACTGCATAATTCCTTGTTAAGATATAATTTCCCTATGTTTTTATTTTATCTCATAAGGAGAGGGAGCCTGAGATTTCAGATAACACATCTCAATTATGTATTCGTCACTCTTAATTCTGTAAAGCAATGTAATTTGCGAATTCATCTTCTCTCATCTGATAATTCACTTTTTAATATATAATAACAAAGTTTATTTATTAATTATTTAAAATTTTAATAATTAGATACACTACTTTTCCTGCATTTACCATTTAATACTTTTAATTCAATGTTATTTTTACTTTTAATTATAATTATTTTTTTATTTTTAAAAAATCTCTTTAGTTTATTTTTAATATGATAACAAATTTATTTAATAATAAAAATATAATCATGCAATATGTTTTTAATTTTTCATTCAAAATTTTATTTTAATTTAATAATATTTGTCGATATATGTTTATTTTACAATCAAACATTTATAAGGTGCACCATATATATTAACTAGTTTATGAAATAATTAAGTGGAGGAAACAAAAAATGTACAAGATGGATTAGAAATATCATTATTATATGATTATTTTTTACTTGTCGGTGGGGATATTTGAAATAACATGAAACTAGTAAGGTTGAAAATTGTATTTTTTTAACATTCTTGTCACATCTTTTACCATTCACGATAGCACGCATGGTCGACAGCGTGTTGGTTACCATTGAAGTGGACAAACATCTACGTTTTTCCTAATTAAGTAGTATTGTTTTCTTCTTGACAATATAACTATGCTATAATCTCCGGTGCCAAACTCAATTATGTGCAAAAGACATTTCTTTTATCAATTTTAGATCATAATTGATTTAACCCAAATTTTTTTTTATAATGTCTAAACTTTTTAAGTCAATGACAGTCATATAAGAATTAATCTTGACTCTTGAGAAAATGAAAAAAGAGAGTAATTAATTAATATAAATATTTCTACAAGAAAAAAATATTGTAAATGGCCTTGAAAATATATTTTTTATTTTTTTCAAAAATAAAATGAAATAAAAGAAAGATTTGACAAAATCTCGTTTAAATAGGAATAAGCGTTGCCTTGTCAGGTTATAAAAAAATGTTGCCTTTTCAAAGTGAAATTTAATTAAATATTGTATCTTTCTTTTTCTTGTATAATATATACGATAAAAACAGGTTAGATTAATTTATGGAAGTTTACGGTTTGGTCTGATTTAAGTTTGAGTTAGTCTTTTTAATAAATAAATAAAATTTAAATTTTTTTTAAAGTTTATTTAAATAAATAAGACTTGAGCTCTGTTAAATCTAATATGCTTATATATATATAATTTAAAAATAAAATTATCAAAATATATTTAAATAATAAATTTATTTAATAATATATTTTTTTTATATTATTAATTTTGTTATTATTAAATTAATATATTATGTTATAATTTTTTATTTATAATTATAATAAATAAAAATTATATTTTATTAAAAATTAAAAATATTTATATATGATTATATTTTTTAAATAATAAATTTATTTAATAATAAATTAACATATTTATTATATTTAAATAAATTAAAAAATAGTTAAGTCTTTGAACAGAAATAAAAGACAACTAAAATTAAACGAAATAAAATTTAAAATAAATTAATAATATTATACTAAAATATTTTTTATATTTTTAATTTTATTATTATTAATATTTAATTATTTTTTATAATAAATAAATATTATTTAAATATAAATTATATTTTATTTAAAATTAAAATTTTATTAAAAAATAATTAAAAAAATAAGATAAAATATTTAATATACAATATATATATATATATATATATATATATAAAATAAGATCATATAATAAATTATATAAATAATATAATTTTAAATAAATTATATATAATAATATATACTTTTTATAACTTATTATGTATTTTATTTTCATAGTATAATTTTTTTTAGCAAACTACTTATAAAAAAATTTTAGACACTAAATCTACAACACATAAACACAAACTTAAATATAAATATGTTAAATTTTAAATAATTATTTTTAATAAATTTTACATAAATATAGATAAATTTTTTTTTAAAAAATATAGCTGTTAATATATTTAAAGTTTAATAATTAATAAATATTTATATGAACAAAAATAATATAAATAAAAAATTATATTATTAATTAATTTGTCAATTTATATATAATATATAAATATATATTTTAATATTTTATATTAATAATATTTTTTATATTATATTAATATTATAGTGTAATTAATTTTATGTATATTTGTTAATTTAAAATAAAAAATTAATGAAATAAATAAAATTAAATATTTTATAATTATTATTTTTAATTTAATAATTATTATTATTGTCATTATATATATATATATATATATATATCATTGAATTTAAATTTTTATTAAGTTTTATCACATATTTTTTTTATTAAGATAAAAATTTAAAAATATAAATTATTTTAATTTAAAATAAATTTTATTAATTCTTAATATGCTCATATGTTATTTTTCTGCATCTATAAATTTTACAATATAAATATTTTTTTATCTACAATTTTTATAATGATGATATTTATTTACTTTTTAAAATAAAATAATTTTTTTAATTTATTCAACAAATTTTGTGAGTGTTATTTTTTTTATTAATTTTATGTATTTATAATAATTTTATTTATTGAATATAAAATATTTTTACACAAACAAAATATAATTATCATAAAAAAATAATTAAAATAATTAATATTTTAATAATTTTATAAAATTAAATTAAGAAAAATAAAAATATAAAAGTTTTATAATATAAAATATTTATAGTTAATGTTTAAATAATATTTTAAAAATTATTTATAAAATTATATAAAAATTGTTACAATAATTTAATAATTATTAATAATATAGATAAAAATTTAAAAATATATAAACTAATTTAATAATAAAATAAATATATTTTTGTTAATATTAAAATATTTTTTTATAGCAGACTTAACAAGCTTCAGATAGATTAGGCCACTTACATAAGCTAAATTAAGTTAAAAATAAAGTTTTTAATAAATAATAGACTAGACAATAAGCTTAATAATTATATTAGAAATTATATCTATGTAAAGTAAGGTATGGTCTGACATATTTTCATCCTTGTTAAATAAATTGAATAGTTGTAGTAAATTTTTTATATATATACCGTATCTTTTCCGTTTTAGGATGCGATAAATAGAAGTATATGATTCGTGGTTATTGTTGTCATATAAGCTTTCACGATTTATAATGAATGTACCGACTTTAGGTTCTGTAGTTAATGTAATGAATCTCGTGTTTTCTATGCCATCTCGCCGTGATTCTATTTTTTAAATTGATTATACATTTTTTTAATGTTATAGTTACCAGCAAATCTTTAATTTATTTCTTATTATTTGCGGCTTTTTTTTCGTAATTTTCAAAATCATTAAATGGTCATAAAATTCTTGTTTGAATTTCTGTCAAGAAAAGTTGGGACTTACTAACTCCTATATGAATGAACGCATGTCATTATTACTTTTACTAATTTAATCATCACTCTGAATATTGACAAATTTATAGTTAAATTCATTTTTTTTTAACTTTGTTTTTCCTTTAAATATTATATTAGCAAGCATCTTGACATTTCTTCAATTTGCTTCAATTTACTTATCTTACATTTCTTGACATTAATCATAATATTTTTATTTTTATTTAAATCTTTGATTTATTTACTTGTATCTACATAATAATTATTTTACAGTATTCTATTATTAGTTTTTCTATTTTTTAAAAAACATAAAATTAAATATATAAAGATATTAATGTATTTTTTATTAATATTTTTATAATTATTTAAAAATGATGATATCACATTATTCTTAATAAAAACATTTCCTTAATTTTTCAAAAACGCTAAATAAAGAAAAAAAAATGAACAGTTGTATCGAACCTCAAAATCATCATTGCCGGAGATGATAAACTGTACGGCGGCTTCTCCGCCGGAGCTTTTGCAACAAATAGGGTCGGGACGCAAGATGTTGCCTTGACCTAACCTTGTGCCGTTCTTTGCAGATGAGCTTCGAAATTCGCTGTTGCTGAACAAATAGAGAGTTACAGTTAAGATTAACTCACTATCGTATCGTTAGAATATAATGGAGTAAATATTCACCATAGTTTTTCGAACTGTAAACATTAATTGTTTTAGTATATGACTTTATGACAATTATACTTTAATTATTTTAAAAATACTTATTTTATTTTTCTTAATTATGAATATATATTTGATAAAAGTAATTTGTAGTTTATTATGGACTATATCGATAAATTTATAGAGTTATTTAATAAATTTAAAATAAAAAATCATAATTTTTAAAAGTTAATGTTTTAAATCTAAAAAATTCGTTATTAATATTTTTATCTTTAAAAACTTATCATTTGCACAATTAAAACTCTAATACATTAATAATTTATTATCATTTCATTATTTTTATTTTTACAATAATTTTTTTCCAATTTTTTATTTTTTATTATATTATATTTTATTAAATAAAAAATAAATTAAGTAAATAAATAATATTCTTAAAATTAAAAATAAATTATTTAAATCAATTCATAAAATTTTTATTGATATAATATGTTAAATTTAAATTATTATTTAAATTAATAATATCATTTTTATTCATAAAATGTGATAAAATAAATTATATCTAATTTTAATATAATATTAATATAATATTATATGTCCTATTAAATTATTTAATATAAATCAATCTATTGTACAACTAGTTTATTAAATATTTTTTATGATAAATTCGTTAAATAATTTAATTTTATAAGTTATTTGCTTAGTTATAAATTTTTAGCTTATTTCTTAACTAAAAGTTATAAATTTGCAACTTTCATCTCATTCTATTAAATACAGTTTATATTTATTATCATTTAACTTAAAAAAAATAAATACCATTTTACAAAAATATAATGTTTAAAAAAATAAAACTAACATAATAAATATTTACTTCTAATATTACTTTATAAATTAGATGTTGTTTATAAAATGTCAAGTTTAAACAAAAGTTTGTAGCATAACTTTTTTCTATTAAATAATTTATGATTTTTATAAATTTTTAAAATTTTATTATAATTTATAAAAATAAATTGTTTGAAAATTGATTGCACCATAACTTGTACAGAGAGAAAACAGTATAGAAACTTCAATTGGAAAAGTAGTTGGTACATGGGTAAATGTGTAGTCTGTATACACACTTTAACGTAAGAGAAGCGTTAATTTATGAATTGGTAATTACAATCTAACAATCTGAAACGTGCATAGATTGCAGAGATATTGATGAAAAGAGCTTTAAAAGAAGCAGTGATACTGGTGAGAGTGATTCTATGGATGCTGTCAACAAGGTTGGGTACTTTGTTGCTATGTGGGTCCCTCTGTATGAGTAACAAATGGCCCTTCATCAATAGCTTCTCAAACATTTCCTTAGACAACAGAGAAAAGGTTCTGCAGAAATGGCTCAAGCATCGGTTCCTCACACCGATAAGACTTGCATTCATTTACGTCAAAGTCCTTTGCAACTTTGTTTTCTTCTCTCAGGCAATGCCACTTTCTTCATTCATAAACTCTTATTGACGTTTCTCTCTTTTCTTCCCTCAATGTGTGTGCTATGGAATGATCACTTTACTTGTGTGCAGTGTGATGACAATGGTGAAAACCCAGCATGGGAAGCTATGGGATATCATGTTGACATTGAGGGGAACACATGCAACGTTCACAAAGAGAGGCCTCTTGAAAAGGGAATAGTGGAAGCTATGAAAGAGAGTAAATTGAGTCTGTCTCAGTCTCTTGCTCAGAAAGGCCTTGAGGTTTCTGTGGATGATAAGAACAACATTCTCAAAATCAAATGTGATGTAGTAATTGTTGGGTCTGGTTGTGGTGGAGGAGTTGCAGCTGCTGTTCTTGCAAGTTCAGGCTTGAAGGTGCTTGTTCTTGAGAAGGGTAACTATTATACTCCAAGTGATTATTCTTCTCTAGAAGGGCCCTCTTTGAATGAACTTTATGAGTTAGGAGGAACTTTTGCATCATGGGATGGGAAGATGGCAATTCTTGCAGGGTCAACAGTGGGTGGTGGTTCGGCTGTTAATTGGGCAGCATCTATTAGAACACCAGATTTTGTGCTCAAGGAATGGGCAGAGAATTACAAGCTATCACTCTTTTCAAGCCGTGAATATCTTTCTGCCATGGATGTGGTGTGTCAAAGGATTGGTGTAACAGATAAATGTGTAGAGGAAGGGCTCCAGAACCAAGTACTAAGAAAAGGTTGTAAGAATCTTGGCCTGCAAGTTGATTATGTGCCAAGAAACTCATCAGAACATCATTACTGTGGGTTTTGCAACTATGGTTGTAGAAGAGGAGAAAAACAAGGAACTGAAGTCACATGGCTTGTTGATGCTGTGGATCATGGTGCAGTAATACTAACAGGATGCAAAGCTGAAAGGTTCATATTGGGAAAGAACAAGGGAAGATGTGGAAGAAGAAAGAAATGCTTAGGAGTGATGGCAAATGTTCTAACAAACAATATCACTATGAAACTCCAAGTTGAGGCCAATGTGACAGTTTCAGCATGTGGGGCTCTTTCCACACCCCCTTTAATGATCTCAAGTGGATTAAAGAACAAGAACATTGGCAAGAACCTTCATCTCCATCCAGTGCTAATGGCATGGGGATATTTTCCAGACTCAATTTCTGATCTCAAGGGTAAAAACTATGAGGGAGGAATAATCACTTCTGTCCACAAGGTGCTATCTAAGGACTCCAAAGTAAAAGCTATAGTTGAAACTCCAGCAATGGGGCCTGGAGCATTTTCTACATTGTTTCCTTGGAAGTCTGGACTTGACTTCAAAGAAAGAATGCTCAAATATTCAAGGACTGTGCAATTGATCACAATTATTAGGGACAAGGGTTCTGGACAGGTTAGGAGTGAGGGTAGGATACATTATGAGTTAGATGAATCAGACAAAGAGAACATCAAGGATGGACTACAACAGGCACTGAGGATTCTAGTAGCAGCAGGAGCTGTTGAAGTAGGTACCCACAGAAGCGATGGACAGAGAATTGAGTGTAATGGGAATAATGAAAAGGAAGTGAAGAAGTTTGTGGAATCAATATATGCAACAGGAGGGTCAATGTCACATGAAGAAAAATGGAGTATTTATAGTTCTGCACACCAAATGGGGAGTTGTAAGATGGGCATGACTGAAAAGGAAGGTGCTGTTGATGAGAATGGGCATAGTTGGGAAGCAGAAGGCCTGTTTGTGTGTGATGCCAGTTTGCTACCAACTGCAGTTGGTGTTAATCCCATGATAACTATTCAGTCTACTGCATATTGTATTGCAAAGGGAATTGCAGCCTTTTTGAAAACAAAATAAAATTTGTTGGTTTGTTGTTTGTTGTTCAAGCATGTCCTTGCCAGTGTAGATGAACAAATTGTGGCGTCACAAGATCCTATAATAGTAGCAAAGGTTGTTTGGAAACATTGAATTGAAAAGATATTTGGGCCATGAATATGTGCTTAGCAATATTATAATTATTTCCATTTTTTTAGTTTACATTCTTGAATTACCTTATCACTGAAATTTTGCTAGATTAATTAGTATATTTAATTTGTATATGCTAATATTAGTCACAGACTAATTAGCTACGCATGAGTATCTACCCTACGTGCTCATTCATGCACTAACTAGTATGATGTACATGTAGGGTTTTATTTAGAAAGTTTATGTCCATGACTTATTTGCACCTGTGCAATGCACGAGATAGAAATTTATTATTTTAAATGCGTCTGCATTTTACATTACTATTGTCTTATTAAATCAATCCAAATTTTTATTAATCATTATATATATATATTGATAATTACCACCGGGTCTTTCTTAAATTTTTAATTCTTTCATTGATCGATTTAACAATTTCATATTTAATTATTAATATTAGAAAATGAAAACTGAATATTATTGACACCGAATCAATCAGCTTACAAGAGTAATTTATATACAAGAACTACAAACTAATTTTATATCTGAATGTAACTATTTTATCATTTCCAGTAATCAGAGGTACCCGTGCGATGTATGGATCATGTTAACATTTATTTAAAATGATTTAATAAAATAGTTATAGAAATATTTTGATTTTGTCCAATATATAAAAGAGATAATAATATCAGGAAAAAAGCTAAAGTTATAAACCAAAGAACATATCAGTGAAAGTAGTCTAATGCTTTGGGGCATGCAGCGCCTTCACCTGTAATGTCGAATGCACACCAAACTTATACTATTCTGCAATCTGAACTGAACTTTTGTTTCTTCTCGCTCGAGCAAAAGAAGACAGCACTCTTCGAGTTTGTTGTTTAAATTTACTAAAAAAGAATTAGGGTTTGTTTGTTTTTGTTTTGATATAAAAATGAAATTTATGTTAATAAATGATTTTTTTTTACTTTAAAAAATAGAAAAAAAAACTCTTATCTATTTTCTATGACACATTTATAATTTTTTTAATCAATTTTATTTAATAATTAAGAATATATTCAATAATATATTCTTTGTTTTCCTCTTAGATGAAAACTCCTTCCATTGCATACATGATCCCTGTAATCAATGGGCTTTATATTTTATACTATTTATTTAAAATCATTACTGAGACTACATGTAAAGCATTTATGTATTACACTGTCTAACATTTTAGAAAAGTTTGGATAAATTTTTATAGGAATAAATTAATATAAAATTCAATAGAGTTTTTATAAACTTAAAAATATATTTTTTTTAATATTTTAAAGAAGTTAATTAAATGAGACAGTTTTAATATATAAGTTAGTTTTAACTTATGAAAAAAATTTGTTGTATTGGTTTAGGATTTCATAAGATTTTAAAAGACATTTTTTAAGTAAAAAAGTCTATTGATATTTAATTAAAATTTTATGTTACTTAAAAATAATTCAATAGTATTTAATTTGTATTTTTATGATTTTTTAAAGAGTTCATTAAAATTTATTGGTATTCATTTGAGACTTTTTACAACTTAAAAATAATTCATTGGTATTAAAAAATATAAGGATTTTAAAGGATTGTTGTATTAGATGGATTTTGAAAGACTTTTTATTGGTATCTATAAATACCAAATTCATAAAATAATATCATCCAAACCTATCAAATTTTGGAGGATTATTTGTAGTGATTTTTCAAGTGCTTCAAGAATTTTCAGGTAAGTTTTTTTATCTCTTTATTTTCCTATGCTTTTGTCTTCTTCATTCTGTTAATAATACTGCATTACTGCTCATATGTAATATTCTACTATTGTTTCTATTTCATTCTCCTATTTGGTAAAAATGTAAATAACATTATCATTGACTGTTCCTCATATATATATATATATATAACATAGAAAACATTTGAGATTTTAACTTTTAAATAGTAATTTTTTTATAACACGCATAAAAAAAAGACAAAGGGTGAAAGCTAAAATTGATATCATGATATCTACAATCAATTATAGATCTTCAAATTGTTAACTAGCACCTTTAATTGTTGAATTTGAGATATTTGTCTATATCATATAGCTTTTTTTTTTTAATTGAATAAGTGAATGTTTAAAATATAGAAATAATTATATATATATATATATATATATATAGCAATTAAACCTTTTACAAGGCTATAGTATTATTTTTAATTATATAAGTACCTATTAGGTGAGATATAAATTTAATAAGTATTTTTATATAACTAGTTTTCAATATATGTTATTTTAGTAATTCAAATAAGTGTTTAATCTTCATCATGCGTATTTAAAGAATGTGATTGAGAGAATATTTAATATTTTTAAATCAAGGTTCACAATTTTTAAGTCAATACTTCTATTTTTATTTAAGATACAAGTAGGACTTGTGTTAGCATGTGCAGTATTACATAACTTTCTTTGCAAAGAATGCCAGTTTGATGAATTTTCAATTGAACCGATGAACGAACCTTCATATTCAACATTATCGATTAATGAATATTATAATTTTGAGCCTATTATTCAAACATAGAAGTAAGAGCAAGAAAATGCTAATGTTTGGAGGACTAATATAACTATGGATATGTGAGTCAATGCTATATAGAAAGACATGATATTATATAGAGTTATTATTATTATTTATTCAGACATTGTTATTTTTTATTATTTTTGTCTTTGACTCTTTTTAAATTTGAATATATGAAAAAAATGTTGAACTTTTTAGGTTAAAAATTCATGAAATTCTATAACGTCCACAAAATCCATTAAAATCTTGGCTTAAAAGTCATGCATAATTCATTAAAATCTTAATTTTAAAGTCTTACATAATACTGCAAAGTCTTAAAAGTCATAAAAATCATACAAAGTCTTTTAAAATTTACACAACTTTTTTAATTAAAAAAGTCCTTTAAAATTCTAATTCAATACACTCCCATTATTTTATTTTACTACTTAATTTTTAATTCATATTAGTATTTATTGAAAATTTTATTTGAAATGTACTTAAGCTCAGAGGATATATTCTAAAATATGTAATGTAGGAAACATTTGAAAAATCTTACACAGAATTTATAAAAATAATTTATAATTTTTATAATCTCCTTTAGTTTATTTTAATAAATTTTATAACTAATTTTATATCATAATTGTAAATTTTACAATTAAGTTGTAATAATTTTTTTGTGTATATATATATATATATATAACTCAACACGGAAAGAAATCCAGAAAAATGAAGCAAAATAGGGTCATTTTTAGAGAGAGAAATTGTAGAGGGAGAGAAAATTGGAGTTCCAAAATGAATTTAAAATTAAAAAAAAAATGGTGTTGGTTGAGCTTAATAGAGGGAGGGAAGTTGAGTGAAAGTGGAAGAAGAAATGGCCGTCCACGTATCACTCTCTGTCTCCGACAACAATCATAATCACGTTCTCTTTCACTCTTCTAACGGTATTAACGGTTCCCACCCTATCACTGTTTAATCATTAATCCTTTCTTTCATCATATGACCATCCGTTTATGCCTCTCTGTGTCATCCTATTCCTACTACTGACGGATTACGTTTTTTCTTATGTTAAAAAAAAAATAAGATTCTACTAAAAATATAAATATTATTTATTTTACATTAAAAAATAAAAAAACATTGAATTTGGGAAGCTCGTACCGTACGAGGAAAAGAGGTTGTCTGTCCTATGCCTCTGCTTATCTGATCGAATATTATTACTGTTAGAAGAGACAGAAGAGAGAGAGAGAGAGAGAGAGAGAGAGAAATCCAACCCAGAATGAGATCTACGTACTTCTGCACAATCGCGTCATTTTTCTTCATTAATCTTCCAAAGTATGCATCTTTTTCTTTTTCTTATATATATATATATATATATATATATATATTATTCTGTATGTGTTTTCCAAGCATTATGCATATTTTTCTTTTTTGATTCCCGTTTGTTCACAACAAACAAAAAGGGCTCAGATTGGATCGTCTTTGCAAATTTGGTACAATTGGAGCGCATCAAGTTTCATTATTTATTGGTCGTTTATTGGTCTGAGGATTTTTCTTTTCTTTTTAAATTCTAATTGTTATCTCTATCTTCGGTTATAATGGGTTAGTCCAATGTCATATTTTCGAACCTACATTAGTGTATTTTGTGTTGAAATTGTTATTTGAAACGAATATGTTTGCTCTATGGGATTCATGGTAAGAAGTGAACGTTGTGGTAGCTAAAAGTTGACCTGTTTTTTTATTTTTTTTAATGTACGGATGTTCGGGTGTGTTAGACTATGGAATTTGAACATTGTTGGACAATTTGAATTTCATCAATAGCTATTTTCCAATATCCATTGCTTGGATTTTTGCGGTTTTTGTTGCGTTTTATCTGCTTTGTTATTCTTATATAGACCCTTGTAGGTTTTATAGGAACAGGTTCATTACTTTGTTCACTTGCACTTGGAACTAAAATGGGATTGGCAACATTCCTTTTTATTTTTCATGTTGTGTTGATTTAATACGGTTATGTGAATTAACTTGTTGATCTACATGATATATGAAAACTGCTTGCCTGAATTGTTTCCATCCCTATAAACAAGTTGTGGGACTGATTTATTTTGGGTTGTTGCCACGACTTGCAGGAGTTCGCGAACTCTGCAGCTTTAAATACAGTAATTAGATAAACAAATCATTTGGTGGTAAAGGAAAATGGCAAAAACGATATCTAGTTTCTGGGGCCCAGTCACATCAACTACCGAGTGCTGTGAAAAGAATTATGCATATTCATCTTATATTGCAGAATTTTATAACACAATATCCAACATTCCAGCCATTCTTTTGGCTCTCATTGGTCTTAGAAATGCCTTTAGACAACGGTTTGAGAAGAGATTTAGTGTTCTTCAGGTATCAAATATGACAATTGCCATTGGAAGCATGTTGTACCATGCTACACTACAACATGTGTAAGTATTGATCTCTATCATTTTTTGCAGTAATTTATACAATTTTTGGTTGGCGATTTTCATATTATTTTAGTTATTTTGCATTATTCAAAATGAGTTTGGCGCTTTATGCAAATGTTAGTTGAATAATTGAAGAACTCAGATTTAAGGTAATTGCATGGAATATATCATACATTATTGAACGAGATTTTGGTATAGTAATGCGTCTTTCGATGAATCCAATGGTATCATGTAATCTATGTAGCCGATTTATCAAGTGGGATAAGATTGTTGTTGTGTTGTTAACATGGGCATACATCAAAGGTACATTATGATGCACACAAGCCACTTATGCATTTAAAGTAGCAGTCTGTTTATGTCAGAGTCCCTTCTTTCCTCGTATTTCTGTTTTTCCATAGGTTAGACGAAATTTTATCACAGGGAGAAAGTGTTTTCTTTTCAACTGGATTAGAAAGAGAGATCAATATGATATTGTAGCCATAATGTTATCACGTGTTTGTTTTGGGTGTTTATTTATTCTTCAGTTGTTGCTCTTGAATTTAGGCAACAGCAGAGTGATGAAACTCCAATGGTGTGGGAGATTCTTCTGTACATTTACATCCTTTACTCCCCAGATTGGCATTACCGCAGAACAATGCCCATCTTCCTAGTTTTATATGGTGCTGTTTTTGCCATAGCCCATTCAGTGTTTCGTTTTGATATTGGCTTCAAACTTCATTATGTCATTCTTTGTCTCCTTTGCATTCCAAGAATGTACAAGTACTGCATTTACACTGAAGATGTGTCTGCCAAGCGGATTGCGAAGCTATATGTAGCCACTCTTGTATTAGGAACTTTGTTTTGGTTATGTGATCGTGTTTTCTGCGAGGAGATATCCCGTTGGCCAATTAATCTACAATGTCATGCTTTGTGGCATGTCTTCTTGGGTTTCAGTTCCTACTTTGCAAACACATTCTTGATGTTTTGCCGTGCTCAACAACGTGGGTGGTCTCCAAAAGTTGTCCGTTTAATGGGTGTTTTGCCCTATGTGAAGATTGAGAAGTCAAAAAACAAGAGAAACTGATACGAGATTAAAGTTTATGTTATGATACATTTTGGAAGAGTTGTTAACTATCCATGTTCTCGGCTTTTTGTTTTTCTGGTTTAGAGTGGCTTAAATGATTGTTTATTTTTTATATATTTTGTTGTACACGTAGGACAGGTACCATATTTATGCCACACTATATGGATGCTTGCATGAGTCTGGACAAAACTCTATTTATGACAACCCAAAATTTTGCAGTACTGGTTGTTCGATTCTCAGATGAATCACCCTACATTTTTATTCTAACAATTTGTGTAACCCTTTCTAGGTGACTTTTTGAGTATGTTGTTAACTTTTATTTGTGAAGCTAAACGTGAGAATTTTACTGAAGAAATCAGACAATTTTGGAATTTGATGACATTTCCCTGTATCTTTTGGCTAGAGCCACTTTGTTATGATTCTTTTCAAAGCAAGTTGAGAATTATGTTCTATGTGACCGAAAAAAGTGTTGGTTGTAATTCATATTCGTTTTTACAGCTAAGGAGTAGCTTTTCTTGGTGCCTGAATAGATTAGATTATTTTGCATTCGATCAAAAGCACTCGAGTACATTGACTAAAGCATTTTTTAAAATGTAAAATAAGCTAATAAAAAAATGTTCGTAATGTTCAGCCTTCTTGTGGTAGTGTAAGCGTCAACAAATACCAGTAACCTGGCTTACTCTGCGAAGCACTGGTTGTACATTGAAGGAAAGAAAACATACATACGTCACTCCTTATCTCAGCCTTCCGTTCAACTCACTGTATTACAACGTCCAAAAGAAAGTAACGTTTTGTTCATTGCGAAGGAAACTCCCACTCCCTGCTTTTACAGGTCGAGAAGTGTTGTTTTTTATGTGGCCGTCTCGAATCTAGAAGTCCGTTTGTTTCCCAGAATCCATAACTTTCTTTTGGTCAAGATTCTCAATTACATAAATTAATAGAGGCGTTCCGTTGTTAGAGTGATTTACAAAAGATCTTCAATTGAGAATATATTGTACAAAGTTACTTTAAAAAGAAATGTGGCCGTCACTTTTTAAAGTATTTTGTAAATGTCTTGAAATATTTTGTAAATATATATTTTTGTCTTCAATAGGCCTTCTTAAGACAATAATAAGGAGCGACGGCCACATCATTACAAAAAGTGAAGATCTTAAATTTCACAAAGTAACTTTCTTTTAAAAATCATTACTTTGTGTACAATATATTTATTGTCTTAAAAATATATATTTACAAAATATTTCATACTGTCGTCATTCAATAATTGAAAAGATCTGTATATATAAAAGATAATATTTATAATTATTCTTAAAAAAAATACGCACTCAACGGGGTACCCGAGGCATGCCAAAACCATAGTGATTATATGTAGAAAAAGGAGTACCAGCGAAATGGAAAATTTGATAAAACAATTATTTATTGCATTAGAATACATTATCAAACCCGATTCAAACTGCAGTTAAGGTAATTGAAAATGTGAGCACTCTCCTCAAAGAATTGAATATAGTAAAAGCTTTCACTTTCCGCTAATTGCCATGTGAATTATTTTAAGAACATGATTGAGCGGTAGCTGTTCAAGCAAAGGCATCAATTAAATATTCAACACGAGCTAGAAAAACATAATGAAACAAACGGTCAAGATAAACTATACACATACTCGACAGCTTCCTGAACCTTTGAGTCGTTTCACTCAAAAGATAGAGCACACATGTACACAGAGCATATCTTTCCCTTTCCTCTTGTAGGTGAAGGAATACAATAGAAGTTGATAAAACAAATACACCTTACCATGGATCTAAGACATCCTTTGAATCCCCTGTTGTAAAATTTCCCCAAGCCTCCTATATAGAGCTTCTTGTTCATCGAATGTTAGGTTGATCAATATCTGAAGCAACCAGCGGTAGTACCATAAATTAAACATTTTTTTTAAAATGTTGATTAAATAGAAATACAAAGTAATATATATAGTAAAATAAATGTAATACCTGGTCCAAAATCATTTCAACAGAGAAACTTTGCGGCACAACAAATGACTGATGATATATATACGCAAACACAGCCATAACCATCTACATCAGGACAAATTGGTCAAATATGACTTATGCGTCAAAGCTGGGGGTGCTAGGATGGTTTTGACTTCCGGTCCTAGGCCTCAACTAATGAAATGAACAGGACTACAAATACAAATAGTGTACAGGCAGCAGAATGTAAAGGGGGGCGAAAAGTTAAGAATAGGGAGAGAGGAGAGGCAAATTTTAGTCTGTTATTATACTAAAAGCACCAAAAATACAAGTGAATAAATATAAATTTGCACAAATTACCTACAACCACTATCAGAATGTTATTAAACCAGACCTTGTTCTAAACAGTATGCATTTGACATTCATACTCACTAAACTGGACCACCAAGATTTCTACCATTTCACATGTTTATTTGTCATTGAAGATCCTTTTTCTTGGTGAGTTTGTTAAAGATAATTTGTCTGGATGTTTTTGACTTCACACTTGGATTAAGTGAATATAAATTTTCTGTTCTATCCATATATTCGTCACGATCACCGCTTTCAAAAAAAAAAAATGTACAAGATCATCTTTATTGTTATATCATTGTTTAACTAGGAATTCCTTTTCTCTCTTTTAAAACATTTTTGGGGGAAGGCAGAGACACGGGAGAGAAAATCATGGTTAGTTTATGTATTATGATGATTAAAAGTTTCCTACAAGGATGAACAAGCATAAATAATTCCCAAGTAGACAAACTATTACTGATTTAGAATAAATTTTGTAGATTGAAACATCAAGAGAGTATACCTGGCAGTCCATTCTGTCAGTAATTCCACCATGTCCTGGAATACTATCACCAAAATCCTGCAAAAATGGGAACACACAACTCTGTTACACCTGACCAAAATGGATGATATTGGTTCATTTCCTGATCAGAAAAACAAAAGTACCAAGAGCATACCTTTATTTTAAAAGCCCTTTTGAAACCACTAGCAAAGAAGCCTCCAAAAGGTGCAATAATTGAAGCAAACAAGCCAAGACATAAAGCATGCCATTGAATTGGTAGGATTGATATTTCTTTCCAACCAAACTGTGTAGAACAACATATATAGTGTCACATTCAGATGTTCCAGAAATCTGGATTGGCATCTCGTGATTACAGAATGGTCATATTTTATAAGCTGAAGTGGAATGTGGAAATAAAAAAATTTAACATTTAGTGGTTGGTAGAAAATTTGGTTTACCCTATGTCACATATGAGATGCATTTTTAATGGTAATTCTGGGTACATTTGGATAAACAACATAAAATCTTATTCAATAAGTCTTTATTACATAAGAACTTATGTCATAAGAGCTTAAGGGGTGCATGGAAATCAAAGAAGAGATGGGGCACTAAGCTCCACATAAGCTATTTCTTAACGTACTGTGCAAAGCTTACTGAAATAAAAGATGAAAACAGTTTATGAGCAAGTCATAAGCTCTTTTTATAAGTTTATCCAAGCACTGAGATAAGTGCTTATGTCATAAGATAAGCACAAACTCTTCCAAACATCTCCTATATCCAAGAAGAACAAAGGTTGAAATGAATTGTTCAAATTTGGCTTTCTTTACTACATTCATGATAAAAATTTACCCTGTGAATGACTGGGCTGATTTGAGTTAATCATTCACTGCATTATGCAAGTAAAATTTTCCATTAGAGGCGTCCAAAATTTTGTTTTTGGAGAATTTTTTTACTAGTTCGACTGTGCACAGTACACACTGGCAAGTATAGATAGAGATGAAAGTCATAGGATTCAAAGTTCAGCTGAATTTCAATTGCTTACCCAGTGAGGAATCCATCCTGGTAACAAGTAAGATTCTGGCTTAAACAGTGGACCAGGATCACAGTGAAGCCAACCAGTTGACAAATCCTGAACGTTATCGCCAGAGATGTGAACATTAATCAGTTTTTTGTAGAATAATGCCTTACAATATGTCAATTAGTTATGGTATATTATGGAGCTACCTTTCTTGGACATGTTAGCCATTGAGAACGACCCATGATGTTAGCAAGCTACAAAATGAGTTTTGCACAATGATATTAGTATCTTGTTAAGAATAACTTGATTCATGTATAGCAACTTCAGCAGAAACTTAATTGCCATGAATTTGATCAAGCTTTCTCAGTTTATTTTGCTGTTGCGATATAATAGGAATATAAAAAATCACTAAGTGATTCTGGTTTGATGGCAATTGAACACCCTCCCCCACGGAGCCCAAAATATGAACACCAGTCGAACTGTTGCATATTCATAAACAAATTGAAATTATGCTCACCATAAATGCAGAGATCATGGTGGTAATGGATGCCCCAATAAAACCCTCCCAAGTTTTCTTTGGAGATAACTTAATCAAAGGGGTTCTTCCAAAGAAGAAACCACAGAAATAAGCAGCAATGTCATTAATGACAATAAGTGTTGCTGGAAGAAGAAACCTGTAAAGTAAGCCCAAGTGTTAAAGGAAACGAACAAGATATTGACATCAATGCAAATAAAAGCAATGGAGTAGAACAGGTCTTCTAAAAGCAACAGTCGCACAATAAATATATGAACAAAATTATTCTATGGAAACAATATACATACACATATAATCACTTTAAATCCCAGCAGTTTAAGATGATGCCATTATCATCAGTAAATGATACAACTTTTATTGAGGAAAATAATTAAAATAATACCTTCAACAAGAAAAAGTAAATGGGAGAAATAGATGAGGTGTGAATATGAGGTTAGGGTGATAATATATAGGAAATCATATGCAATACTAGGGAGAAAGAAAATTAAAAAAATACCTGTCCAAAGATAAGTTTTCACATATTTCACGAACCTGTAACTTCCTAACTTCAATTGGTTTCATTTAATGCTTCAATATTATAACCTCAATTTGGATAGACATACATATAAGTTTTGCAATAAAAAAACAGAAGCTGTTGGCCGATGAGCATAACTTTAAATA